CCGGTTGTGTTCCTGCCTTGCTCTAATTTGGTAAAATTGAGTGGAGAAGGGCTCCGTGGCTTGTGGCAAGGCCTTGGGGGAGAGATGGGCCTGACCTCCCTACCTGCTTGTTTCTGACCCCAGACAGGTTTTGCTAACCTTTCAGCCCCTTCTCTCTGGGAACCTGTACAAATTGACAGGTGTGAGAGGGTCGACCCTGTTTGTGCACTAAGCAGTTGTCGCTGCAGCCACTGTCCTGGTGGACCATGTTTTCAGCGTGGGTTCCTGGTCCAATAGCTGCAGATCATCTGGGAACTTGTTAGGAATGCAGATGCTTGGGCTGCAGACCTCTGGACTCAGTCTGGGGGCGGGGGGTGGGGGGCACACAGTCATCTGTGTTTTAACAAGGCTTTCATGTGATCTCACTGCACCCTTAAGTTTGAAAACCACTGACAACCTCGTTAAACCATTAAAACCTCAAAGAGACACCAGACCCTTTCCATTTGGATTTCCCCAAAATGTGGTTAGTCATTTATCTACGTACTTATATTTTAAACAGAAAGCTACTCTGATTCATTAGAATATAAAATAAAATTATCTTTCCATTAGCGTACCTGTGAAGCAAGGTGCCATCATGCTGGGATGGCATGTGGAGGTCTGCTAAATAAATAGCCGACCTTCTGAAGAAGGTCTCCAGGCAAGGAGCCTTTCTCCTCCTGTAAAGGACAGGGCAGAGTATTGAAAGATTATTTACAGTGTTTTGCATATATCATTTTAGGTACGCAGTTTTTATTCAAACATCTTGAATTTTTCTTAGGTATATCAGATGTCATCTTTAGGATTATAGAAATGTATTCGTGGATGTGTTTTTGTGGAGTTTGCTTTACGGTGGAGCTAGATTGTCTGATGTTAGGGCTGACGCACTGATTCTCTCTGCCTGTGAAGGGGAGGATGAAAATGCAGAGAGTGGGGCGGCTACTCTTTATTTGCAATTTATTAACGGAGGTCCCTTATGAAATCCGTGCTCTGCCTTGCAGAGCACTTCTGCCGTATCAGTGACAGACTGGGGCCACTTGTTGTGGTACCATTGTTGGCTGAGGAATAACATGCTCTTGGCTTTGAGCTGCTGTGGTCCTGTTTGGCTGTATTGCTTAGCAAACAAGGCTGAGTTCATCAGCTTTGTTTCCGGTTTTGAGTGTGTCCCTATTTCCCACTTCTACTTCTTAGAGAAAGGACTAGGCAGAGAAAGTGGTTTCTAATCTTGCTTTATGATCCTGGGCCAATCATTACCTTTAGACATTGGTTTTTCCATGTGTGATAAGAGGGTTGTAAGAGGCTGGGCACACCCAAAGGGTTTCAGGGTTTAAGTCAGTGCCACTTGTCAGTCACAGGAGTAGTGAGTGGGTCTGATCATTCTTTTCTCCCTTCCCCATGTAATCATACACTTAAACAGTAAATCAAGGGTGGTGTTCCCAAGGCCACTGGAGGGGGAAAAAAAGTTACAGATAACCCTGCCACCCCAGCATAATTACTGTTTTTATTTTGGGTATCAAATTACAGTGCTTGGCCACATGCGTTTTTTTTTTTTTTTTTAAATAGGCAGCCTAACACCACATCTTTGTTCTTCCCCTCCTGCTTCACCTAGTAAATGTGTTGGCCATTTAAGCATCATTATCCATAAAAATGACTTTAATGGTTGCTAGCCATGCCTTTGGGTTGATGTAGTATATTTAAACATTCTCCTAGTATTAGACAACTGATATATCAGGAGGGCAAATGTTAGGTTTTTCAAAAACT